CTCCCCACCATTTGACCTTAGAACTGAAGAAGCTTCTCGGATGAGAGGTGAAACGTCTTCAAGCAACTTAAAGAAGTCCAGACGCTTTTCTTTGCAAGTTCCTTTGACCTGGATGACTGAGAACCTTCACAGACATACAACTGAGCATACTGTTTACTTTGTTAATATTTTTCTAGCTGGTTCTTGTTTAACTTCTGTTAACATTCCTGCTTGGAGAATAAGTAAAGTAGTTTGGTATTCATTCAGGTCAAAGCTGAGTGACTCCACGGTCAAACATAAACTAACTGAGGAGGGCTGTTCTTAATATAGACAACCATTCTGAGATAGGTTTTTCAGGTCTATCTTATTTTGAGTTTTTGTGTGTATCCAGTTTAGTTGTATGTAGTGCAGTGTGTTCTGGCTTATTTAAGTGTAGTTTTGGTTTAGTTTTCATTTCTTTCAGTGTTCGTTTTTGTGATTTTGATTATTATAATGTGGAGAGTATTTGTCCAGGTCAAGCTTTAGGGAGTTCAAAAAAATTATATTACAAACACAGTCAATTTTCAGTGTCATCTTTTAATATAGTTTTAATTTTAGTTAACTATAATAACCTATATTCTAAATAACTTTTTTGGCAGGATTTCACTGGAGTCTCGTGGAGAATAAAGCTGTGATAAGAGAATAAGAGGAGGAGATAAGCTGCAGAGAAGCGTGTAAGACTGCCACTCTGCTTCCTGGTCCTAACTCTGAATAGTCAGATTTTTTTTTTTTTTGGGGGGGGGGGGTTAATAAATTTTCGAGAAATTCAAGAAATAAGAGCTGCCGCATCCAACGTGGGATGGATGCCTTCTCTTCTAACAAGACCAGGTTTCTGTCAGAAGGTTTCCCTATTATCTATAAAGAGCACACTGTGCATGGGTGATCTCTTTGACTTGGACAGTGTTTTTTTCTGAGACATTTTAACACAATAAATCTGTAATGGGTCAAAATGTTTGCAAATTCTTAGTTGATGCTGAAGGTTTGATAGCTGCGTACCAACTAAAATGTGGTTTCCTTGGAATTTCTCTTGCTTACTTATGAGTTCTGATAAGGCTGTGTGTGATGTCAGATTCTAATGTATCACAACTACTGACAAGGTCAACATTATATATGCATATTAGTTTGCCACATGACATTTTTATACGCTTATGTTTTTTGGTTTTTTTTTTGAAGATGGCAAGTTATTAAGCACATGCCACAAGAACAAGCAGTGTATATTCCTCCACATGTGCTTCTCCACATTTTTACCCAAGTTCAGGAATGGGGAAGTAAATAATTAAAAAATATAACTATGGTGGATAAGAGAGAGTAAATGATTAAATGAGGTATTGATTCATGAGAAAATACAGCTCAATTTCTTTGTTTTTGAGCTATCTAGTCAGCTGTTATAAACTGCCATCTTTTGAAACCTGGCCTAGGATGACGCAACAACATTATTTTCAATAACAATTTAAAGAGACAGTGATTTAAATTCTACAAAATTTAACACACTGAAAAGATATGCAGACAGTAAATGTTTAATATGAAGCTTTGGCTTACAGTAAGTTGGAGAAGAAAGATCTGTGTTCTCATATCTGACAGCATAATAATGTGTTTTCAGCTAAATCAAGAAACAGAAACAATTAAATGTCAGAAACTGAGGTGTTTGTTTCATAATTATTCCATTCAATAACAGTAAAATTATTGGTAGATTTTCACAGTTTACCATATTAATTTCCTTTGATTGTGTGCAAGTGATGTGTTGTATGAGGGAGGTGAGGGGAGGGAGGGCTGGTACATGTAAGAGTGGAAAGTAGAGGACTGCTCCCTGAAGCAGAGAACAAGAAAACAACTGGCTCTTTAGGCACTCCCATTCAGTAGTAGTGTTCATATGAACACTTTTCACACCTTGGCTCATGTGATTAGGTAGAGGATCATCAGCGGGTCCTTTTGTCCCTCTTTGGGGGGAAACTCCCACTGGGTTTAAATCTGGGACTCTCCACCATTTGACCCTTAGAACTGAAGAAGCTTCTCGGATGAGAGGTGATTCACAAAAGTATATCACAGATCACAGAACTACATCAGGGTGTCTCATGCAGCACTTTCAGTGGGGTTGCATAGTTTATTTGACTCCTGATACCTGGCATCTT